ACATAGCTGTAACCCACGTCCCTTTGTAATATTTAGTATTCATAAGATCGAGACTGCTCCCTATCTAGTACCCGAGTACTAGTACCGCTTCTGAACTGTCATTCTGAGGCAGCACTCTCCCTTCACACTGTATACGATGGATGCCGAGGCACCTACTTTGGGTTCAAGATTTCAGTTTGAGATTTTAACCTTCCAAAAACGCAACTTAAAAAGATTTGGTTTTATCCTTCCTCTCTATAAATTTATATAACTCTGCCTAATTAGACTAACAGAGTTTCTATGGATGTGTAATGTGATCATCTAACATGAAGTAAAACTACATAGACAAATTTAGTCATACCTTCAAAACAGAGAAGGGAAAATGTAAGTATCACAAGGTTTTTATTAGTCTATTACTATGCTAAATATACTGGTATTCTATGTTCTTTATTAGAAGGGACACGAGTATGCTCAAATGTTTTGTAAGGCTCTCCAAAGCCTTTAGATACACTGGATTTCGATCTCCTTCAAACAGTTCTCTTGCAATAAAATGTAACTTCAGAATAGTCTTTAAAGATAGCCCATTTAAGCCCAATACAAAACACAGTATCTGCAGGTAAACAGTTATATGAAAAAAAACAACAACAACAAAACAAAACAAAAAAACAAACAACCAACCCCAAAGTTAAAGAAAGAAGCTGGGGCATATACTAAGCTGCTAAATTACTTACCATCCCAGACTTGTTATATTACAGACTCATTTACTTTAGAAGACTTTAGAAGCTTCCTGAAGTCTGCACCTTCTGTAGGAGGTACTTGGTGAGCGTGAGATGCTTTCTGTGGGAAGGCCTTCTGGAGGAGCTGCCTAAAGAGAAAGGATGCACGTCTAAATCCTGAAGCATACAGGACCACACTGCATTTCATGGTGGAAGCAGATAACAACTTCACAGTTTAGAATGACTATGTAATCTTATTTTCTGTCAAAGAGCTAAACAGACCAGGCAAAACTGTGTCTTCTGAAGTAATTTGCCAGTAGTGGAATTATATTGGCCAACATAAGAATGAAAGAATAAACTATATTCTGTCCAGAAATATAAAGCTAAAGGTGTGTCAGTGATAGACCTGTACAACCTTTGTTCTGAGTAGCTCATACAAAAACCTTAAACGTGACAAACATGACTGCTTATCTGCAAAATTAAATTAACAACTCCTGTAAATTTTAGGGGTAATTCAAGTAGGTACAATACCACTTTAAACATATGCTAGCCAGACATCAATATAATTACTTGTATTTAGAGATTACTACTATCCCTAAGAATTGCAAAAGTAACTTTTCTCGCTCCCAACTCTGCAAAGTGTAACTTTGATACAGCAGTCTTGACCAGTGGGGGAAAAAAAAAAAAAAATTAAAATTGAAGGTAAACCCTTCAGAATTATTATACACATATGAACTCATTTCAAACAGTGAAATCAGTTACAGCTACACCAGCGTCTATTGATATTTGTAGGACTATACTCATACTAGTTTCCTTATTGTGACGACCTCACTAAGCTTATATTCTTAGTAAAAAAAAAAAACCAAAACAAAACAAAACCCAAACAAAAATAACAACCCACCCCCTCCCAAAAAAAACCAAAAAACAAAAAACAAACAAACAAAAAAAACCCAAAACAAACCCAAACAAACCCAACATCAAAAAAACCAACCAAGAAACAGGCAAGATTTGCATGAAAAGCCAAGCAGGGAAGCACCTTGCCCGCTGTTAAGCTGTACTCCTCCCAGCCTGGAAAATTTCTTCCTGATGATGGAAAAGAGTAAGAGCTCTCAAATCCTCTTGAGAGAGCTCCAGGAGATTCAGTGACCCGCAGACACCTCAGAGACCACCTTGTAAGTGCTGCGAAGTGCAACATAAAGGAAAAACAAAAAAAAATCCAAAACAAACAAACAAAAGCACAACTCCAAAAAAAACCACCAAAACAGAACCGAACTAGACCGGGATACCACACGCACAACCGCAACACCCTGCCCCCATTCC